AGAGAGAGAGAGAGAGAGAGAGAGAGAGAGAGAGAGAGAGAGAGAGAGAGAGAGAGAGATGAAACAAAAATTAAACGCCATCAGCGAGTGTTGCTGTGCACCACGGCGTGGCCATGGCGGGTTCCACTTGTTTTTCTTAACTTAAAAAAGAGGATTATCTGTCATATTTTTGCCTGTACAAGTTTTCATTCATCAGCTCCTCTCAGTCTCTCTCTGATTTCCCTGATCCCTTCTCCCCCTCAGCCGTCTATCTGTCAGAACTGCCATAGTATGATGATTGCTGATCCTACAGATCCCTACCAAGGCTTCAGATTGCTAGTTAGGCATCGGATGGAGTAGGGATGCTCTGATCACACACCTGGTAGAGTCCAGTGAAGAGGCAAAGCTAGCAGCTTTATGATCTTTATCACACAGCAAGCCAATGCTGGGTAATGGCCCCGATGTCCAGTCATAAGTGCAAACTTCAGTAACCACAGTGTAAATGGGATGCTGAACCCGCTTTCCAACAGGTGCTGCTACCCACCAATAGACTGGAGCACCTGGCGTCAGGTTGCAAGTGGAGGGTGCTCTTATCACCTCCACTAGCTAGCCGAGGCCAGGTTAAAAAAAAAAAAAAAAGAAGGAAAAAAAAAAAAGAAAAGAGTTCCTCTCAGTCTCGCCTCCGCTGTGACTCTGCCAGATCGAGACGATTAGCACGAAACCAATGGGAGGTCCAGGCATGTGCCCAGCTGCCCTCAGGGGATTATGATTGGTAGGTTGCTTGTCATAGCTCCTGCCCTGCTCCCTTCACTCCCATGCACTCATGTCTGCCTCATCACTCGAGGGATAGGGACACCAGACTGCTGTAAAGATTTAAATTTTAAACCCACAATAGAGGAAGATATCTTAAAGGAAACTAGGAAACAGCCGGAACTTAAATGGACCTCATGGAACGTGAATGGCCTGGCTTCCACTTTGGACAACCCAGTGAAATGGAGAAACCTGCCAGAAACCATGCGCTGGTTCGCCTCTAATCCTCCAGACATAACCTGCCTGCAAGAAACCCATCTGACCAACAGCGAGGAGCATGACCAAATCAGAACTGCAATTGAACGTAAACCAAAATTTGCCAAACTACCGTCTTCACCCGAATAGAACGCCCGGTCATTATCGCTGTATTTGGCACAACCAAAATTTGCTCAAACACGCGCGTTC